CAGGTTCCAGTGGGCAAGGCAGCCTGCTCTTCCGGGGACAGTCAGTTCTCTCAGGCATCTATGGAAATTGTCTGAACCTTGTGCATGGTAGAAAGAGGTGGGCTTCCTGCATGAAGTCATGCTAACAGTGCTCGGCATGAACCGGACGCTTGCCTGCACTGGTATCCTGCAACATCGCACTGGTGGTAGGTAACCTTTTTCTCCTTCGTATTTTCAGCATGCAATCCTCTGCACGGTTTCGCAGGCGAGTACCTCCCATGGAATGGATCGTTTGTTGCCTGCCCAGCCACCCTGCCTGTGCCAGCCTGTTCCTCAACATCACGTTGGGAACCTTGGACATCTCCTCCAATTCATGGAGCGTGACGAAGGCTGAGCCACTCTTCACGGGAATAACAGGCAACCCGATGGCCAGCTGCAAGATGCAACACTCCGGTCATCTCGGCCAGATCTTTCTCCAGGCTGCATGATAGTGGGATCCCCTCCTCCAACATGTCCCATGGCTTTCTCAAAAAACTGGTCTTCACCTTCTCGGGGGGTTCCAGATATCCCCACCCTGCTCCTGAGATCCAAGAGAGGGCTTTTGCTGGGTGGAATAAGCTAAATTAAATAAATCCATGAACAAAGATGCGAACTTTGTTGGCTTTTCATGTCAGAGCATTCAGAGCTGAAACCTATGTTGCGCCTATTTGTCTGTTTTTTTAAAGTATTTTTATCCTTCTCAGCCAAACATTTTTTCTAAAAAGACTCCCAGAGCAGCTTAAAATCAATCAGTTGGAAGATAGACTGCACCCATAGGTTTACAGTTTAAGAAAGATACCATATAAGGAAATGGAATGAGGAAGGAAGCGGCTTGCCAACTTCCCAGCATTTACAAGTACAGGTCTGGATTCTCAAATTCTACTTTACGCTTTGAAAGAAAATGACAAGGGCAGGAACCATTCACCAAGCTTTCTTTTTTGACTGCATCTATTCCTGCCTTGAAGGGTCACCTGACGCAGCTCAAGGTTATTCAGTGTGGGTTTTCCTGGCATGCAAAAGAAGATGGTAAGAAAATTGGTTAATTATGTGTGTGTGTGCATGATGCTATGTAACGCACCGCAACAGGAGCAGGAAAACACCCGGGTCACTAATAATGCCCTTAAACAGCAAATGTACTTTGGTTGCAGCTCGCCAGTATCTGGGAAACTGCAGTGTGCCAGACTGGTCCCAGAGGGTGTTGAGGACACAGAAGCCCCCCTCTGATTACTGCTATTCCCCACGTTTCCGTCTCTTGCAAGGAACCCAGTGTGGCTTCGCAGGGTCTTCTCTCCACTGCATCCTCACAGAAAATGACCCGGTGGCCAAGAGTCTGGGACCGGCCCAAAATCGCCCAGTCAGGGTTAGTGTTGAGGGAGTATTTGAACCCAGATCTCCCGAGTCCCAGCCCAATACTCTACCCACTATACCACACTCATGCCCAAGGAAGTGCATCCAAAATTGCTGACTGAGGTTGCAGTTCACGGACCTGGGGAGAAAGTGCCATTGAACTCAATGGGGCCTATTTCTGAGAAGACATGAATGGGCTGTGCATTAAGTCCCCCTTCCCAGTGGCCGAGTCCCATCGCTTGTCCAAGAGGGAACGCTGCTTTTCTGCACACAGGTGTTGGTTGGGGTTTCATTGCTTCTGACTCCAAATAACGGGAACGAGAGACGAGTTTTTTGGGGCTGTACGTGGCACTGTGGAACCCAGCCCAGGTGGGCTCTTGGGTGGAACCCAGCGGGGGCACATTCCTGAGCTGAGCGCACGCTCAGAGGCTGCATTGGTCCTTCACTCTAACTCGTGTCTACCTGGTAGGTGTTTTGCAGGAGAGCCCCATTTGGGGGCAGTGTCCTCTTAAGGTGTGCGAAAGGAAGTGCCTGTTGCCAGAGCCAAACCGCCACTGGGCGGCCGTTTCCCGTCCTTTGGGCCGCTTGCCCGGCGGGTGGGAGGGACTTCTCTGTCGGCACCACTCTGCCCCCGCCTGGCTTGTTCCTTCCCTCTCCCTCTGCCCCGTCGGGGCACGTGTGTCCTGCGCCTGGCGAGGGGGCCGATCTGCCCCCAGACAGCGCCATTCGCCCCCCAGTTCCAAATGCGGCAGCACCGCACTCTGGACATGTTGGGGGGGGCCATGTTCGCGAGGGGCGTGGTGAAAGGGCACTCTGCCTGTGCGCAGACACACTCTTCCCTGCCGGGGCGGAGGGGAGATGGCTCCCAGGGGTTTTCTCCCTCTGAACGCCACCTGGGGCTGGGTGAAAGAAGGCAGCGAGACCGAATCGGATCGGAGTATTCAAGGACTCAGACACACCTCCTGGAGCTGATAGGTCCCTGACCTGACATGTCATTCCCTCCCCGGGATGCCATTGGCTCCGCTTGGATAGTGACAGGATGGGCCGAGGGTGATGCTGTTGCGGAGGACTGACGGGCCTGTTAAACAGGTGAGCATCCTCATTGCTCCCCAGCCCCGAGCATCCTTCATCCCGCAAGACAGGTAAGCCTTCCTAGCGGGGGGTGGGGGGTGTCCTCCGCACCTGCCCGCAGGGCTGGCTGCCTGAGCCGGGCAGGGGATGCCCAGCTGCATCCTGCAAGGGGATGGAAGAGCGGTCGGGATGCCTGGACTCGTTCTGAAAGCAAGCCCTGTTTCTGGGCGGCTGGTGGCATGCGTTCAGACTTGCGGGCCTCGTGAGCCATTGATAAATGGCCGGGGAACCCCGCGAAGGCACGGCCCTCGGGATGCATTGCGGGGATTTCGGGTCCTGGCGCTAGGATTTCAACCCGTTGATCTGCCAGGCTCCAAGAGAAACAGTGCTTTGGACTCGGAAAGCCCAGGTGCAGTTGCCGGCATTTGGAGGCAGCGTACGCTGGGGTCCCCAGCGTTTTGGCCCCAGGGCACTTTTGGAGGTTGAAGGGGTGCTGTGGGCACTGGCCCACTCGTGGCTGCCACGGGGGCTTGGCCGCCGTCAAGGGGTCGTCTTGCCGGAGACCAACCGCCGGGGACTTGAGCACAAACCCCCGTGCTCAGGGCCAAGGCACAGGGCAGCCCTGCATGCTGAGCCATAAATCCAGGGCACGAAGGTGCGCTTTGCTGCTGTGGACGCCCATTTCACAGGCGATGGCTGAGCCTCCAATTCCAAAGCAAATGCTTGCCCCCACAACGTGTAACGAAATACCCTTTTAATAAAAGGCAAGCCGCTGGTGCTCAGACACAGGTGTGCATTCACAGGCAAGACACATCCCACGCCCACGAACCCAGGCCTCGCAAAATGCTGGCCTTTGGGTAAATAAAAGAAAAATATTTCAATACCTTAAATATTTTAAGGTGGGAGTCCGTGGGCACACTGTGGTGACCACAGGAGGCTCCAGGTCCTGGGAGCTTCGAGCCAGACAAATCAATGTTCTGCCTTGTCATGGGACAGTTTCCTGTTCCTACCCTGTGGGAAGCACTCTGCCCATGCTCAGGAAGTCCCCACCGTAAGGATTTCAAAGCGTGCTTAACGCTCTGTGTCCCGAAGCTGGGCAGTCCTTACCACAGGCTCCCCAGACCTGTCATTCTCCGGTTGTGCCAGTCCTATCTTGCCCAGCCAACCCTGGAAGGCAGGCCAGTGACCAGCTTCTCACAAGGCAGGGCCATCTGGACCGCGTGCCTTGTGCTCTCGTCACCCGCTGCTAATCCCCAAAGCCCGACTGAGGGACTGCGTCCGTGCTTTCGGGGTGACTCATTGCTAAAAAAAGCCTCTGAGCAGCACCAGCACACAAGGGCCACCTGCCCGTAATGCGGCCCGGTCGATGGAGCGCATGGAGGATGAGGAGAGCGACTTGGCCGGGAGCGTGAGCACATGTCCCGGGCGAATCAAGGCCCGGCCTGTTCGCACCAGCGGGGTTTAATGGGGCACCAGGGAACAGAAGTGAAATTTGATCAAAACGGATTCCTTCTCCAGGTCCCGGCCGTCCGGCTGCTGGGCACCGCGTGATTTCATACAAACTGAGCCACAGGACTGGGCGCGGAGGCCCATCTGGGGAGGAAACTCTCGGGAGAGGACGCTCCCCGTTCTGACGTGCGCACACGAGGAGAATGGATCGATTCAGGGTCCCCCGCACAAAAGAACTGGAGTTTGGGGGTGTCCTAGGTAAGGGGAAGACTGGGCAGGGGCGGGAGTGCCCCACTCCTTTCTCTACAGCCTCTCCACAACAAACTGCTCCTGTTACGAGAAGCAAGTTGAAATATACTCCCCTCTTAATCTGGAATAATTACTGCTCTCCTGAGATGCAAATTAGAGTCCTTAAGCATGGAATAGCCACTTTTCTTTCCCTATTTTTTAGCTCACTGGGGTGGAAGCTGAAGGGTGGTCAAGGGTGGCAAGTGGAAACAGCCATGAGATGAGACACCTTTAGCACCCCAGGCTCTGCCCCCAAGCAGGAATAAAAGGGGGTGGAAAGGTGGATAGCTTTGGGGGACCGTTGGCAAATGACCAGTGAAAACCCTGCCGGATCAGCCCTTGTGCCTTCAGCACTCGCCTGAGTTGCAGCAATCAGCAGCTGAATCCTTTCCTGTTGTAGGCAGAAATGTGACTGCTTGCTGGGGTTAGTAAGACCAGCATAATAGTGAGAGTCCTGGACTGGGACCGGGTTCTTGTCCCCCGTTTGGTAAATTTATAGACTGCTTTTTTTTTTTTTTTTTTTTTTTAAGAAATCCACTTAGGATTTGTCATTATTAGGGTTCGGGTTGAGGTTGAAGACAGATTAGAACTCCTGCTGCTCTTACTCGGAGGAGGTTTGCTCTCCTGTCTTCAGAAGAATTGAAGTTTTGCGAGGATGCTATAAATGCTGTATCAAAGATTCCTTGGTTTCCACAGAAAACCGTTTGAGCCTTAGGTTTAGTTGTGCTTCAAATCAGAGGTAGGACCAGAATCATTTCTGTACCCCGGGGACAGAAAGTACAACAGGCCTGAGGCTGACGGACTGCCTGGCTGTTCAGGCGGGTGGACAGTCCACACGTCCTGCTGCTGCTTCCTGCTGTGGTCTTCCTCGCAGGAATACGAAAAAGGGGCAGCGTTGTTGTTGTTGTTATAACTTTTACCGTAGGTTATGGGATTGCGGTGTTCCTCCCCAGGCTGGGAGCACTGGGCTGTCTCCCCTCTCCTCTTCAGACTGCCCCTTCCCTTGCCCTACAGGGGCTGCTCTCCTGATCGTCCTGATGCCGGCCACTGTCTTCTACCTGCTGCTGACCTGCCGGACGGAGGAAGCCAGCCTGCTGAGCTTCCCTGCGCCTTTGCCCACGCTGCGCTCCTTGTGGAGCCCGAAGGACTGCCTGCTGGTCCTCGCCTGGCTCGGGCTTCAAGCTGCACTGTACATGTTGCCGATGGGCAAGGTAAGGAGGCACCCGGGTCTCTCGGACGCTTTTGCGGGGGACTCTCCCCTGGGCACCCCCACACGACATCCACACAGCGGCCTGGCCCGCGTTTTCCTCCTCTGCACGAAAGGAGTAAGAACAGCCGCCTTTCCCCTCTCTGTTCTTGCTTTCTTCTCCTGCAGCTACGCTCTAGGTCCACCCTTGGGTGATGAGCCCCACTCCCACAGGTCCCCCGCAGGACAGGTGAGGCTGCAAAAGCCTTCCATCGGTTCTGCTGGGAGGTTTTTTCCAAACTAACTGCCACATGGAGGGAGGACAATCTCGGCTGAGCACTGCCGTCTCTGCACAGGCCTCCCTTCCCACTTAAGGTTTGACAAAAGTCTTCCCTGGGGCCTACGGAAAGCTGCTTCAGCTCAGTTGCTGTGGAAGGGAATCAACAAATACCTAAAGACTGGATGTGCCCCAGCTGCCTTCCACCCTGGAAAATGGCCAGCTGCCTGCAATTCGGCCGTGAGAAGACTCTTCTGTTGGCGGCTGGGGACGCCCAAGGCTCTGTAGAATAGAACCAGGGCTCCAGGAAGACGGTTTAGGGCCAGGGACTGACAGGCCGGGCCTAGCAATGCCTTGAAAGACACGCAAGGGTCCGGATGCAGCTCTTTGGCGCTCCAGGAAGGGCCACAGTGCGTGAGCAGAGTGCACGTGGGAGAAACCAGGCTCGGGTTAGAACATTTCTGCCCGGAGACGAGGCCTTCCTTGCTGCACAACGAAAGGCCGCCTTGCAGCTGTCCTGCCAGGTGAGCCGCCCCCTTTCTGCTCCTTGTTTCGAACAGGTAACGGAAGGGATCGCCCTGCGGGACAAGAGTCGGCTGCAGTACCGTGTGAATGGTAGGTGCCCCGGAAAATGTGGGAAAATCTCGGAACCCAACGCCGGTGCTAACATGGCATCTCCCGACCTGCTTTCTCCCACATGGGTTGAGCTGCATCTCCCATCACCCCTCGGGTGGGCAGGGGGCTTACGGGAGGGCTGTGCTTAGAGGAGGTGGTGGCACGTGATGCACGCTTCCAGCAGGCAGCGGAGCTTCCTTTCCCAATGTTCGTTATCTTTTTTGAACTACATCACAAACGAGCATCACTCAGTGGCTGAAGGGGCAGGCAGAAAGGGAGTTCTGGGCCCCTGCCACTGAGGAACCCCACCCCGTGTCACCTTTCGGTGCTGCCCCTCAGGAAAACGTTCTTGTCCCTCCGTGGGCAGAGCAGGGCAGCTGCTTCTGCCATCTGCAGGCACTCCTTGGGCCAGGCTTCCACAGCTGGGCCCGCCGTTCCGCAGCTTCCATCAGTGTGGCCAGCCTGGGGGTTGTGGGACTGCTAGTTTTCTTCTTGCGGGGAGCTTTTTATACAGGCAAAAGCATGCTCTTTCGTAGCTTCAGTGTGAAGGGTCGTGGTCCATTTTGCTGCCTCTGAACATGACCGAGGTGGCCTCCTGCTTTGTAGCTCACTGCGACCAGGATACAAAGACTGAGCAGCTAGCTTTCTTCTTGCGGGGTTAACCCCAGGTTCAGATTCTTCCACTAGCTTTTTCTGGCAGCCTGAGAAGGCCCCAAGCTGGTCCGCTGGATTTCTGAACGCAGCCAATTGGCTGAAATGTCTCCCCGTTCCACTTTTGGCAGGTTCACACGCCATGCTAGTCACCGCGCTGGTTCTGGGGGCCGGACTGGCTGCAGGACTGCGCCTCAGTTACATTTACGACCACTTCCTGCAATTGGCTTTCTCCGCATCCCTCATCGCTTTCGGACTGAGCATCTTCCTCTATCTCAAGTCCCTCTTTGCTCCAGAGACGGCTCTGGCTCCGAGCGGGAATTCTGGTGAGCACCACAAAACAGGGAAGGGCTCAAGTGAAGGCTGACAAAGGGGTGCGTGTCCTGGTCAGTCTGGAAGGGGGGCAGCCCCATAGCCTCGCCTGCCAAGAGGAATGCAAAACTTGCCGGCTGCTGAGCTTATACAGACCGAAATAAAACCCGGGTTCAAATGGATTTCTTCTCAACCAGGGAGAGGTCTCTGGTAGAGCAAACTGGTCTGACTGGCTCGTGTGAGATCGAGGCACCCAAAGTGACTGCAGTGCACCTGGGAGCAAAGTCAGGTCGCTGGGAACATTGCTGAACACAGAGGAAACGGGGAGGGTTGGGAGGGGGCAGGTGACGGCAGCTACCCTGCTAATAAAGCATGATCACTCAGCATCCCGGCGAGGCTCCTCCTCGCCCCTCCACAGAGTCAGTTCCTGCAGGCGCTTGTCATCGGTGGACAAGCCGAAAGATGCTACATGTGGGCGCGTGTGAAGCGAACACCCCCGTGAGGAGGCCAGCGACCGGCTCGGGGAGCGCCCCACGGCCCGGCGGGAACACAAATCCGACTCCGAGTCAGAGACCAGCCCTCGCAGTGGCGCTCCGCTTCCAAGCAGGAAGGAAAGGGGAGCCCCTTGCTTCGCCTTTCCTTGCCTTTCCTTTCCTTCAAGGGAGGGCGCCTCATCTGATGCCACATATTCAAGACTCTCTCAGATTTAGCATCTCAGTACCTGGTTGCTGAATGCAACTTCCCATCATGAGAGCTCTTTATGGGGGACTCCAGCATCATGTCCAAAAAAGGGAAGAACCCAAGCTGTAGGATGTTTATTTTCACTTTCCCCACGACCCTCCAGGAAACCCAATTTATGACTTCTTCATGGGCCACGAGCTGAACCCGCGCCTTGGTGCCTTCGACCTCAAGTATTTCTGTGAGCTGCGCCCAGGTCTCCTTGGATGGGTAAATGTCCTCATTCTTGGGATGGGATGGTGACCAGCTCATGCCTGTGTCACATCTGGCTGTCATTTCCCCGCACCTCACACAGGAGGGACATGGTGGGATTCCTCCAGTTGAGGGATGCCCCCTTGGAGGGGGTCCGAAGCCAGTGACGTGTTCAACACAAGAGAAATCTCGTTTTATTCTCTCCTGGGGCTTGTGGCTTTCAGTGCATTCTATTTAAAGCTGTTTTAAATCTCGCTCTAATTTCCTGTTAGAGCAGTACAGCAATGGAAGCAATTACCCTGGGAGGCTGTGAGCTCTCTCACCCTGGAGGCATTCAAGATGCAACTGGACAACCATCTGAGAGAGATGGTCTAACAGGCAGCCCTGCACGGAACATGGGTTTGGTGGTCCCGATGGCCCTCTGACCCCTTCCAGCTCTCCTAGTCTATGATTTTGTGGGGCTCTCTCGATTTTAAATCAGCTCAATTAAAATAACAGGTTTTGCTCTGTTATTACTTTAAATGGCTTTAAATGTTTACCCGTCAAAGTACGTTTCCCTGTATTGCATTTTAGGATTTTCATTTCTGGGAACCACCCAGAGAGCTTTGGCTATTGGGCGATGCAGAAATGTAATGAACAGTAGTATTAAAAATGACGAGATCACGGGAAGGCTGTAACCAGCAAATCCAGTGGCGGGAAAGCAATCGAAGTGGCAGGCGGGGTGACCAGGAGAATGTGGACTTCCGTCTCCATCTGGGTGCTGCGCTAGAAAGACAGCTGACCTCAATGCCTTGCCGTTTGCCACAAAAGCCCCCGAGTGGGGCAGCTTCCACTTGGCACTCCCGGCACTGCATCCCAGTGAGGAGCTGGGCCGTAACTGGGAGGCAGGAGGGACGTGTGGTGACGGAGAGGTGTTTTCCGCCCTTTCCCGAAAGAGACCACCTGCCCGGCCCGAGCGTCACAGGGCTGCTTGATGAGGCCTTTCTCGTGTATCGCGTGGCTGGGTCCTGCGCCCCCCGTGGCTGACGCGCCTCCTTTGCTTCTCCTAGGCCTTGATCAACATGGCCATGCTGGTGAAGGAGACGGAGCTGCGGGCCAGCCCCTCCTTGGCCATGATCCTGGTGAACGGCTTCCAGCTCCTGTACGTGGTGGATGCCTTCTGGCATGAGGTGGGCCCCGTGCCTGTGCGATCACCGCAGGCCTGAGAATCTTGTGCGCAACGATTGCCGAGGGTTCCCTTCCACACCGCCCTCAGCTCCGCTTCTGTCTCTGGCAAATGACGGAGGCAGCCAGGGATGATGCAAGCCTCCGTGTTCCTGGATGTTCCTTCAGTGCCATGAGGACTAGAAACATGATCTTTTTTTTAATGTAGAGATAATCCAGCGGCTGAGCATACCCGTATTCTGTGCATTTCTAGTGTGGACCCGGTGCCAGGTTTTGGGGGGCCTTTGGGCACAGTCAGGCCGTCCATGTGAGCCCTCTTCCTGAGCCCTGCATCAGGACCACCATTGCTCCGGCTTCTCCTCCTCTCCCTCATAACGGGAACCGGTCGGCCACAGCTCTGGCTTCTCCTCTGTGCTGCCACCGCTCTGGTCCAGGGCCCCTCAGTGCCTGGCTGGGGGCTCCGCTTCTCGCGGCGTGGCATGCCGTGCCACGGGCTGACCGGGGCGGGGGCTTGTCCACGGTCTGCCTCGGGCAAGCTCAGCTGGGCCGAACGCCCCAGCGAGATGGCTTGTGCGTCTCCTTGCAGGAGGCCATCCTCACCTCCATGGACATTATCCACGACGGCTTCGGCTTCATGCTGGCTTTCGGGGACCTGACGTGGGTCCCGTTTGTGTACAGTCTCCAGGCCTACTTCCTGGTAAACCACCCTCAGAAGCTCAGCCTGCCCATGGCTGGGGGCATCATCTTGATAAACGGTGAGCTGGGCTGCTGGCAGTTCCTCCCCACCAAAGCCCCACTTCCTTCCTCTCTTCAAAACAGCCACTGGAAGCTGTCAAAAGTACGCAGGGAGCGTCTTGTTTGATGTAACTCATCCTGAGCTTCCAAGAGAGGAGAAGGATAAAAAAGCCTTAATAAATCAGGAGTAAACAGTGAAGACTAGAAACCTGAAAGGGGTGGTGGGGAAGAAAAAAATAGCCAATATTCAAGATTTTTGCAGTCTCAAAAGATATGCCACTCTCCTGAGCCACAAGTTGTGGCTATTAAGATGAAGAAACTATTTCTTCCTGTCTTTTGAAAGGGACAAGCTGGGAGTTTGAAGGGACTGACTAGAAAAATGGCCAAGGCTGGAAAAGGCTGGGAGGTCTTTGCATCATGAAAAGCGAAATTATCTGCCTGTTTATCGGTTCGTTTTCACTCTGCTCTGTGCTGTGTAGGGTTGGGCTACTCCATCTTCCGTGGGGCGAACTCCCAGAAGAACACCTTCCGCCGGAACCCCGCTGACCCCAGAGTAGCTGGTGGGTTATCCTGACAGACCATTTCCCTTTGCAGCACACACAGCTCCCGTTCCCCCAAAGTAACTGCCACCCTCTGGCCTCGTTTGGATGGCCTTTGGAGACCCCCGGTTTGGAAGGGCTGCTTGAGGCCCAGTCCGCCCACACTGTGAAGGACTGCTTCATTGTTAATGTTGGTGCATGACTCTCGTGGAAGCAGAAAGAAGTGCCCCAGTCCAGGGAAGGGTTTCGATGCAGGAGCACAAGGTGGTCTTGCAGGAGGGGCTGCAAAGGTCCCTCCACGTGCCCCCCAGGCCCGAAGACGCGTGATGATAGAAGTGTTCCTCCTTCCAGGGCTGAGGACCATCCCCACGGCCACCGGACGGCGCCTGCTCGCATCAGGATGGTGGGGGTTTGTACGGCATCCAAACTACTTAGGGGACCTCATCATGGCGTTTGCCTGGTCCTTACCGTGTGGTGAGTGTCTGCCTCCCCTGCCTTGGATTCAGACCTCGGGGGAGGAGCTTTTTTTAAAAACTCGGGCCAATTCACCAGTGCTAAACACACTTCTAGGGGGCCAAATGCACTAGATGTTTATTTTTAAGTTTTAAAAAGCAGGGAACCGTGTTCCTGTGTTGCGTAACATCACTCAGAGTGTGCGAAGAAGCAGCAGTGATTGCTTGGTCTCTAACAGATGCTAATTGCCTTGATTGCCTTTAAAGATCTGAGGAGGTAGGAGAGGGTCTCACAGTCTTCTCTCTGGAGACGGAAAAGAATGTTTAAAGGGGATTCTGTGGAGTTACACTGCCAAGAGCCTGGAGATTTTTTCAAGCTCTACCCAACAGGCCTATGACCAAAAATGCCTAGTTTCCCTTGAAACCCCGTCTAATATTTTCTCTAAATATTATTATTAATTCGTATGTTCTCTAAAGAACCTCTTTTCAAACCTCATGCAGCGAACAGCTAATAAATCCTTATAACTAATAGTTCCCTGGAAGCAACTCTTGATTTTATTTTTAACTGGAAGGTAAGGATTTGTTTTTGTTTTTATTTTAAATATTGCATGATCATAACTTTACCACCAAACCCTTAGGGCTTAATGCAGGCTCTGGATTGCGGTTCCAAGCAGCCCCGCAACTGGCCGTTCTGCCTGGTTCTGGTGGGAGTTGTGGGCTGGATTCCACTGTGCTGGCAGTAGCCCAGCTTCCCTGCCCCGTCTTCCTGCAGCAGCAGCAGCCGCAGCCGCAGCCTCCTCAGGGTTCCTGAAATGCTATAAGCCAACAGCCCCTGCCAAATGTGATGAGCAGAGGTCTCCCAACCCAGGCATGGGGCCTCCTCGTTCCTCTTCGGGGGGGGAGGCCTTGGGTCCAGCCAGCCGTCGTCTTCGGCTTCCGGGGGGCTCCAAGGCGAGGCAGTCTGCTTTGGGGAGGGGCAGATCTCCAGGTGTTTTGGGCCTTGGCCCCTGAGAGCCCGTGCAGGCACGACCGGGGGTCCGGAGCGCCGAGAGCGTCCTCAGGCCGCGAGCCATCGTCCCATCCCCGCTTCAGCACTTCCGAGGGCTGCAACTGCGGCCACCCTGCTCCATGCAGGAAGCGTTGCGTGTGGAGCTGTGCTCTCTCCAGCTGCTTTCCCGCTTTTGTCTCCTCTCAGGACTGACCCACACCCTACCTTATTTCTACATTCTCTACTTCACGGTGCTTCTAGTTCACCGGGAGGCCCGGGACGAGCGCCAGTGCCTGCGGAAGTACGGCTTGGCATGGCAGGAATACTGCCGCCGTGTGCCGTACCGGATCTTTCCGTACATCTATTGACTCGCTGTTCCGCTGTTCAACCGGCGCCGCGACCGCACTGATGGGAAGCCAGCCTCCCACGTGGCTTGGCCCTGCAGAACAGAAGCTCGTGCCCTTCGGAGAAACCAGATGCCTCGGTCGGCAAGTAGCGCTGTAACTGTCTCGGCCACAACACTTGCCTTGGATTCCAAAGGAGCCGGTTCAACCCACATGGCCTGTTCTTTCTGTAAAAGTATTTTTTCTTGCACTTAAAAGACTTTTTCTTTCTCTGTCACATTTATTTACTGCCCCAGAGCCCAGAGGGCTCTCTTTATTATGGGGATCCCTTGCCCATGTCTAAGTTTGTTCCCAACTCACTCAAGAGACCTTTCTGGACAAGACCAGGCAAAGAAAACCACCCTCCCAAGCCCAGTTTTTGTGACTATCCAGGTTTGCACAATGTCATTTTGCTCCTGAAATACTGAAAAGGGGTTACGTGTTATGCCAAAATAGTTGGCCAGCTTTGACCATTGGGAGTGCTTTCCCGTCTGCTCTCTGGTTGCTCAGATGTGTCCACAAGGCCATTTTGTTAGTTTTGGAGCAAGAGCTAGAAATTTAGCTTTGTGGTTCTTTAAGCACACAGAAAATCTTGGAATGTGCAGTTTCTACAGGTGTGGAAAGGACACTGCCCTGTTAGGTGAACTTAACCAAGCAATGCTAACTGGAAGACCTGAAATGTTATAAAGCAAACTGAAGCTAATTTGGGATAGAAAAAATAATCAACTCAGCTTTTCAAATATGTGTATCAAGAAGTTTCCGAAGAGGGACATAAAAACTCTCTATGATTGTTTTTAAAGAAGTTGTATGGTTTTTAAATAAACTTGGAATTTGGGGGGCTAGATTGGAAGTTGCCCAGGGCACTGTTTTGGGGGGTACAACTGTGGAACTTCATGTACACATTGTGTACCTAAAGAGGGGCTGTGTGCTGCCCCCCTCACCACCATGTTCTAAGAGTGCAGTGGGCAAATGTTTGATACTGTCTTTGCTAGAACAATCATGTCGACCAAGCTAAAGCAAATGCTTTAGCACGGGTTCGTTAAATTCTATTTTCTCTCTAGGGCCGATATTGAACTTGGCCAATTTGGGAATGAGAAGAGGGGAAAGTGCAGCTACAACTTACTTTAATAAAGACTGCATTACAATCTCCTCCCTATTTTGTATATAATTTGACCACAGCCCATTTTGTTAGCTTTGCAGCAATAAGGACTGGAAACTTGGCTGTGTGTTTCTTTAGGGACACGGAAAAGGTGAGTGTTGATCGCAAACCCAGCTGTGTCCCTGGCCTTGCTCCTCCAGTTCTGCCACATTTGTGCAGTGACGCCACCTTTGATGGACCTTTGATTTAACCCAACCTCTTGTCTCTCGACTGTTCAGCTTTAAACTATAAATTCTCGGGAGCAGTGGGCCGCTTTCAAAAACAAGGAAGATGAAGTTGGCGCCATAGGCTTGCATTTTTGCTCTACAGTCCCCTATCTATCGTATTTATACGCTGTCCTTTCGCAAAGCCTCAAGATTAAAGGCGGTATCTCGCTGCTCACACACTACCACGATTCATCCCAGAAACATTTTGATTTATGAAAACATTTTTATAAACCTCTTTACAACATTTCTGAAACATCTATTGGGAATAGCCCCAGTCAATACAGGGGAGTTCCGTGCCATCAGCATGCGCAGTATTGCGCGGGTGACGAGTTCAGAGGGAAGCCAGGAAGAAGGAAAACCACGGAGAGGCGGTAGCACGCCGCAGCAGCACCCCTTTGATTGCAGACCCCGCGCCGGTCGCGCCTTCATCCCCGCCGGGCTTCCGTGCAGACGCGAAGAGTGCAGCTGCCCCTCGGCCATCCGTGCTCAGTCCAGTCCCTGGTCGGCCGCAGCGCCGAGCGCCCGCGGGGCCGGTCAGTCCAGCTCCTGGATCAGCGGCGGCTTGTCGGGCGGCACCGGCGCCCCCCACGCCTCCTCCAGCGCCCGCGCGCCGGCGCCCACCTCCCGCGCGGCGGCCAGGTGCGAGCGGTGCGCCGCCCGCGCCTCCAGCGCCAGCAGCGGCAGCGCGGCCGCGTTCTCGGCCTCGTTCGCCCACGACAGCAGGAACTCGCACTTCTTCTGCGCCCGGAGCAGGCGCGGCCGGTCCGGGGCGGCGGCGCGCCGCCTGCCCGCGCGCAGCAGGCGCGCCAGGTGCGCCAGCGCGGCCAGGCCGAAGCCCTCCAGCAGCTGCGCCACGGCCAGCATCACGCCGGCGCCGCCCAGCGGGCACTCCGGGTAGCCGCCGGCCGCCGCCGCCTGCAGCGCGGCGTGCAGCGCCT